AGGCTTGTGCCCGTGGCCTCGACCCCGGGAGGGGCATTTTATGCCTCTTAGCAATCGTAGCAGTTGAGCTGTCCCCGCTGACAAGGTTCTGTCCCAAGGCGGCTGTGGAGGGGAGGCGGACAGTCAACACTCCTGCGTTTCCCGCTGCTGTGGCTCAAAGGAAAAGGGAATCGGACCCCACACACCCCCTGGCTCCCTAGGACTCAGAAGGTGTCTTGGCCCAATTAGTTCCTACCCTTGGGACGTCACCGTCCCGCCCACTCTCCGGTTTTCTTGGGGGAGGGGGGGAGGGGGGCGGTGCCTGCACCTGCCTGGCCCTGAGCCGCAAGTGCCTCGCCCCACTCCACACTGACTCACCCAGTGTTCCCAGCCGGGTGACTGAGGGATCTGAGCCCCTGCTGCCCAGGTTAGGGGACTTGTGCTTGGCCGAGCAGATCACTTCCTACAGCAAGATTGGACCCACTGCATTTTACAAGGGGTTCAGGCGGGTGGGTTTATGGAGTGCAGGACAAAAGGCCAGGGCAATGAGGAAGGCCACTTGGAGGAAGGAAGGAAACCCTGAGAAGACCGAAGTATGGAGGTTCAGGAGGGTGGGAGTGGGGGTGCTATTCCAGGAACAGGGAGGCCCAGGCCAGGAGTCCAGCTGCCTTCTACATATTTACTACCCCCTGAACCCATTTTCCCCAGCTTTGCCGCCCCTCCTCGGCCGCCCCACCAAATCAACCCAAGGTCTAAGCCAGAAGCCCGGGCGTTATCCTCAGCACCTGCTCGTGAAGTCATCCAGACCAGCTCTTTTCCTTATGATACATCTCAAACTTCAACTTCGTATTCACATTCCCATGACCTGACTCCTGGTACAGCTCCAATCTCACCCTCTTCTGCACTCACCTTGCATTTCATTCATTCCAGACAGCCGATCCTAAAACTCAGCCTGCTTGCTCATGGCTGTGCCCTTTGACTTCAATGCCAGTCACGCCTTCTCCCTCCCCCTTATTCATCTGGTGGACTCCAATTCTAAATTTTCCCCAAAATGTCCACACCCACAGCCTCCCTTTTCTAGACCACAGGATTGATATTCACCTATTCAACATTTACTCCACTAATGTTGATTAATCACCTGCTGTGATCAAGGCCTTTGGCATTTCTGGGTGGGATTTCCATTGTTTTGTATTTGTTTGCCTGTCTTCCCTCTCTGGTCAAGAATGTTGCTCATTTCTGAATCCCCAGTACTGAGCCCAGGGCCTGGCACCCAGCAGGCGTCCGGTTACCATTTCTTAAAGATATGGAAAAGCAGACACAAAGGGAAGAGAAAGCCCAAGAAGTCCTTTGAACAAATACCCTGGGCCTAGAAAGGGAGATAAGTCTGCCTAATGAGGCAGATTGGACGTCTGGCTCCCACACGCTGGCAAGGGGCGAATTTGCTCAGTTCAGTGCTGATGGAATCGCACCGTGAGCCCCTCTGGAAGGAATTTTCTTCTCCCGCCGCACTTTGCAGAATGCCCATCCCTGAGCCTCACTATTTTTTTATATCAGCAATAACAACACCCACAACACATGGGCAGTCAGGTCCTCAGAGTTCAGCCGCATCTTTGGACTCGGGGTGAGAACACTCCTCTGGGACACTGTGTTCCCGAGAGCCGAGGCGAGGGACTCCCACTTGTTCTGTGGACAACTCATCCATCGCAGAAGACAGTGTGCAGGAGGGAAGCGTGGGCTAGCGCGGCGGAGGAATAGCTCCTGGAAGGCCAAATTAGCCCAGGATTATGGTGAGTCGGAAAGGAAGAGGCTGTTGCTAGGCCACCGGCACAGACCCCCCT